AATGATAGAAACATATTTCTAGAGAAAAACGGAAAGGTCCCCCCCCTCAGCAAGGGACAAACAATCGTCTGCTCTGGAAGGGAACGTAGCCTACCACCCATGGCTGCCACCAAAACTAACTTTCTTTTCTTGCTCGACTCGCATCCCCTGACAACTTCCCACAAGCAAAAAGGAGAGGTTCCTGGCACGGGATACGTACTTCGGGACAGCCGCACAGTTGACCTCTTCGATGACTTGGGCGTCTCTGGATCCTCCGAGTCATCTGGCAGAGGGTATTGGGAGGCCGGGTCGTTGGAGGATCGCGGAGACTTTCTCGGGGACGGACTGTCGGACAAACAATTCTCCGCATCCTCGTCAGACTTCCTCTTTGTGGGGGAGAGTAATCTCCTCCTGGCCTGATTCAGCTCTGTGTACAGAGAGAAAGAGAGATAGAGATAGAGATAGAGAGAGAGAGGGAGAGATAGAGAGAGAGAGAGATAGTTAGAGAGAGAGATAGAGAGAAAGAAAGGGAGATGATGATAGAGATAGAGAGAGACAGAAAAAGAGATAGATAGACAGAGAGAGAGAGATATCAGTACAAGAAACAGTCAAAATTGTCAACAGAGAAGTCCAAACAGGAATCAGGCTTACTCTGCTCACCTTTCTAGAATTAGCAGCTTCGACTATCAAGGCACCCCGGAAATAGCGGGTCACAAGAGCGTGACAAGCACAAAAGAAGTAGAGGAAAAAATGACGATAGTAAGGATGAGGAAAGAAAAAGCAGCAGTTCCCCCTATGTTGTACCGGCACAGTATGAGCCTGACATTGATAAATCAGCCCATTTACAATTCTACTGTGTATAAGAACATGTTACAAAGCCCCTCTTTGGGAAATGGCCTAAGGACACCAGAACATCTGCCAACCACCCAGCAAAATATTTAGAACTGTTGAGAAGCAGAAATCTCTGAACCAAGCAAATACAGTGGAGCCCACAGAGGCCCAGTACGTTGAATCCGACACAAGCTGTCAACCAAATCTATCCTCCCCTGCCATAATCCGACACTAGCTGTCAACCAAAACTATCCCCTGCCATAATCCGACACTAACTGTCAACAAAATCTATCCTCCCCTGCCATAATCCGACACTAACTGTCAACCAAATCTATCCTCCCCTGCCATAATCCGACACTAGCTGTCCACCAAATCTATCCTCTCCTTCCATAATCCGACACAAGCTGTCAACCAAAACTATCATCCCCTGCCATACCGGCCTAACGCACCCGCCTTTAGTGCAGGCTCAGAAATAGAATCATTCCACTTTGAGTCTAGATGCTGACATCCTAGGTCTTTGCAGGTGAAATTTTCATTGAAATACGACGCTTATATCAAAGCAAAAGCAATTTCTTCGCTACACCCCCTGAACCTCTTAAAAACAAATTAATTCACTACAGGGAAGCCATCAGCCGGCAGATACATAGTGCTGAGAGGGTTAAGCAACCACTCAACCCAAACCCTCGCTAAATCAAAGAAAGTCCGGTGACTCTACAGATTCCACTTTAAGCGTATTTTGTGACATTTCCCCAAAACTTGTCGTCTCCACTCACAATCCTGACCTTCATGAACACAACGGACCCAGTGACCGGACAGACACGACCACCAACGGTACAAACACAAAATGGAAAAAGCGGAAGCTTACCCCGGGGTGACGCACAAGCCCTCTGGGAGGGCGGCGTCCGCTTTGAGGGCGACGCGGTGAAGGAGCTACAGCTACTGGGGGAGTGCAGGAGATTCACAGACGCCTCCGCGTCACCGGGCCCCGCCCCACACACACGCTCACAGTTGGCAGGACCTGTCCAGATTTAGGAACATTTTACAACAGTTGGCAGGACCTGTCCAGATTTAGCAACATTTTACAACAGTTGGCAGGACCTGTCCAGATTTAGGAACATTTTACAGCACTCACAACACAAAATAGGTCATCACAGAAGAGGAGAAGATTGGAGGTGTTGTGTCAAGATTGGAGGTGTTAGGCCAAGATTGGAAGTGTTGTGTCAAGATTGGAGGTGTTAGGCCAAGATTGGAGGCGTTGTGTCAAGATTGGAGGTGTTGTGTCAAGATTGGAGGCGTTGTGTCAAGATTGGAGGCGTTGTGTCAAGATTGGAGGCGTTGTGTCAAGACTGGAGGCGTTGTGTCAAGACTGGAGGCGTTGTGTCAAGATTGGAGGCGTTGTGTCAAGACTGGAGGTGTTGTGTCAAGATTGGAGGCGTTGTGTCAAGATTGGAGGCGTTGTGT